TGAAAAGCAGAGAAAAATTTCTCAGGCCATCAATTTTTCTCCCTTATTAAGGGAGAAAAAAGGTCTTCATGATTCTGCTAAAAGACCTCACCTAACAATGCAAGGGGTAGTCAGGGAATGTCTTAAATCTCTGTCCCATTGATGAATCATCCCCTTTTGCTTGTCCTATGCAGGAAGACTATTTATGGTCACGTTACACAGCAGCTACATGACCTGGTATAACACAACTATAATCAGTTTGCTTGTGCCTGACGCAAAAGTTCTCAACTCTTAGTCTGTGTTATGTCCAAAGCTATCCTTCATCTAATACATTCTAAACTACCCCCATGTGATCTCAGAGCATCAATCAAAGCTACAAAAAAGATATATGTAAAGTTATTTTATTTTTATTTTTTTGAGATGTCGCCCAGGCTGGAGTACAGTGGCATGATCTTGGCTCACTGCAATCTCTGCCTCCCAGGTTCAAGGATTCTCCTGCCTCAGCCTCCTGAGTAGCTGGGACTACAGGAATGCGCCACCATGCCTGGCTTATTTTTTGTGTTTTTAGTAGAGATGGGGTTTCACCATGTTGGCCAGCCTAGTCTGTAACTCCTGACCTCAGGTGATCTGCCTGCCTCCACTTCCCAAAGTGCTGAGATTACAGGCGTGAGCCACTGCACCTGGCCTTTTACAAATTCTTTAATAATTATTTTTCTGGTGGTAGAATTTTCTACAAAAAGGTTATTCTGTGCTCTGATGGTGTGATCTAAATGACTTATGCATTGGCTGAATGCATTGGCTGAACCATTGTAAACATCCATTATCACTATCCTTAATTCTGAGATAAAGAAAACTTGATGATTCACAGAAATTCCTTACAATCCAAACTTCCTCGTCAACCTAAAATTGGACTTCTCTCCAGGATGTTCTTACAGAGTTGCAGAGATCTGTATCAGCCACCAACCCCATGATCCCCAAAGCTGCCTAAACCAGATTTTGCAACAATCCAACATTTGGAACTACCAGCACCACATTTCATCCTATCTTACTGGAGAATGCTACTCTGTACAGATAATCTTGGCTTTTCTATATTCCCATCTAAGTAACTCACACCTTCAACTCATCAAATAATGGTCCAGACAGGGTAAGTTCATTTCACGAATCTATTCTTGCTTCCTTGAGATACTTCATCCCCTATCATAGTGCTTGGGAAAGAGTTGAAAAAAAGAGATGCATAGGTATTTACGGAATGAAAATATTAATGCTGGTTGATTTATAAAAATAAAAGGGATACTTAGACATGGTACAGAATTATCTAGCTAAGAAGAAATGGGGACCAGGATTCTGAAGGGGAACTCTGTTAGCCAGAAATGTCAGGATAAGGAAAGCAATTGCTCATGTCTTTTTTTTAAAAAAGAAACCAAATGTCAGGAAGGCAAGAAAAAGCATCAACTCACCTCAGCCATGGCTTCCAGTACTGCAGACGGTTAGTCTTCCTTGAGGCTGTTCTCCTGAAAAAGGATAGTGTTCTGAGATTGCGTGACTAGGGAAGTAAAACCCTCTAGAAATCACACCAGAGGCCAGATAAAACTACCTCCATACTTCTTGGTCTTAAGATATAACTCTAGTTAGTGGGAATATGGAACGAATCCTACTCCTTCCTTAACCCTACAAACCCCAGGCTTTAGCTGCAGCAAGATGGATCCTGGGTAACTAGATCCAAGGGAAGACAAGGACCCAGATTCATTCTCCCTCATGCAAACAACCTAAGTTCCTGCCTTAGCCAAGGGATTCAGGCCAGACCTTGTCCCACCTCAGTGATGTTGCTCTGAACCCACGACTGAGCTACTATATGGCCTGCCCTGAGCTACTAACGTACTATGACCCAAGACTGAGCTACCATGACCTCCTTTGCAGCCCTCAGGTCCCCAAACCAGATTCATACAAATGGTGCCTTTTGGCCAGGAACACAGTGCACTCAGATCAGAAAGACCAAAGACTTCCCTAATCAAGTCTTTTTGTTTCTCAACCCTAAAAAAGTCAACTTCCCGGCCGGGCGCGGTGGCTCACGCCT